AGGAAGCTGGTGCAGCAGGTTCTACGCCACAGAAGGAGAGACCGTAGCAGCTGCGCCCCAGAGGTGCTCCCTTCCAAATAAGGCCATTTCCTCAAACCAGGACAGTCCCACCATGACGCACTGTCACCTAGATGTTCCCTGCCCCAGAGCCCTGCCCACGGTGTCCAGCTAGAACAGTTCCCTCTGGGACAATGAGCTCAGAGCAGTGCGTGCTCTGTTGAGGTCCCCCTGCAAAGTCTTCACATCACATTCACATTGTATCAGATTCCATGCCCTTTGGCACAATTTAAATGTAGATTAGCTACATTCTCTATCTACAATGCAGAAAGCTGAAATGCCATCAACATGCGTTTTACTTTTAACTGAAAGGGAAAAGAAGAATACAAGGACATGGATACTCCTCTTCTTTCCAATCAAAATATAATCAAGACAGAAATAAAGAATAAAATTTTGAATTCTACACAAGAAGAAAATATTGTAATTAACCTAACCAACTACTTAAAACAATTATGAATATACATATAAAGGATATCTTCCTCAATCTGAGATCCTAGTTCTTCTTCATCCGCTCCAATTGCAATGTAGTCATCTAAAAACAGGCATAAAGAATTGCCACGTTATTGTAACATACTCAAAAGGAAATTCCAATAAGGGTAATTAAAATGCATTCCTAATTCTTTGACCCCAGGTGCCTTATATAACAAATCCTTTTAGTTTCGTTTCATCAGAACCTGGTCTCTACTACCCACTAGCCTCCTCTTCTGGGATTCACCTACTCTCCAGTGCTCCTGCATTGACGGCTCCTTATCCCTCAGGATGGGGAAGTAATTGATCTCTAGGCCATTCCTCATTTCACAACTCCATACATGCTGTTGCTCCCGCAGAGAGTAGACAAAGTTACAGAAAGAACTGTCTTGTCTCTTGTGACTCGGGTTTCAACGCAAAACCATTCATTTCATCTGCCAATCACATATACGGACACACTCAGAAGACTCCTATACAAATATTCGAAGGGATAAAAGGAAATAAAAAGAAACTAGGAAGAATAAGAAAATAAAAATATGAAGAGACAGTAAAGAAATCAACATAGAAAGGGCAAAGTAAGGAGGAAATAAGGCAAAGAAACTAAGGCTCAGGATAAAAAGGACGACTTTAAATAAGAGAAATATTCCTGTACTGAAAACTTCAGGACCAAAATGTTGCATGTTAAATGAGGTATCTTCAAATTAAATTAAGCTCCCCTATATAAATCAAGATCGCCTTTCCACTTAAAAACGAAAGCCGAAAACGGACTACGAATACAACGCGTGTGTTCTCCGCACCACGCCGACAGTGAGCGACGCTGCATTGCTCACTCTCAGTCTGGAACGGAGTACCCAGTTCACAGACTAAGTGCAGGGAAACGGAAGAGGTGGGGAGAGGTTTCGATCATTATGAATCAGGGAAAACAGCCACATATTTGAAGGAAATATTTCTTAGATGCCTGCGTCCCTACTCCTCTCCCAATTCAGGACTATCAGGAACGGATTCTCCCCGAGCTAAGCGGTGGGGGCAGCTGTCAACAAGGCAGCGTGAGTAAGCCAGCGACACGGAGTGGAGAAGACAGTGACCAAAGGGCTGAGAAACGTGGCGACACACATGCACTTACCTCCTGTTCTGAGAGCTGCAGCAAGCATTTCCCT